TGGAGCTGATCTACTGGGAGCTCACCAAGGCCAGCTGGACTTTGACCGAAAAAGCATGGGATAAAACCGGACTCTCTGAACATGGCGAACAATGAGGGCTGATGAGACGCCAAGGACAATGGCACGGGGTTTTGATCCTACTTAATGTGCTGGCTTTGTGGAAGCCTAGCCAGTTTGGATGTTCACCTTCCTAGATATGGACGGAGGGGGGAGGACCTAGGACTTACCACAGGGCAGGGAACCTGGACTGCTCTGTGGACTGGAGAGGGAGGGGGAGAGGAGTGGGGGGAGGGGTAGAAGGGTGGGAGGAGGGGGAGAAGGGTGGGAGGAGGGGGAGGGAAATGGGAGGCTGGGAGGAGGTGGAAACTTGTTTTTTGTTTATGTTTTTTTTTCTTCTTTTCTTAATAAAAAAAATTATAAAAAAAAAAAAAAGAAGATAGTTATGTCTCTACATCCAAGGTTAGCTCTGAGTTCCTTGGTCATGTAGCTTACAGAATTAATCTCAGGTCTTAGTGTGCACTTTGAGAAAACAGAGTAGTGAAAGGAAATTAAAAGACTGTACTGTATGTAATACAGATGGTTTGCTAGACCACTTGATTAAGGTTCTGTAGACTAAAATAAGGATAAAAATCTGCTACACAATAACCACAAATGGCTGCCTGCCAGTACAAAGGGACTGGCTAAAATATACTTGACTTGCTTAAAACTTAGTTAATCAATAATAAAAGCAGCATCGCTTGAGGGTGAAGATATTATGGTTGGAAAATTAATAGAAATGAAAATGTTTAATTACACGTGGACTTCTAATAAAGCATGTAACTTATGGTCATATTGTGATTTCTTCCCAAGTAAGGATATTAATATGATGTGAAAATACATAATTTTCAGTTATGAGGTAATTTTCTTCTTGCATAGAGATTTTTATCTTAGGTGGTATAGAATGGCTAAGAGAAAAACAAAGACAGGAAAATTAAGTTTTGCCCCCTCAGGTAATCCTTCTGTGTGTGTTTAGCTTCTGAGTCCACATCCATGCTCTAGTTTCTCTGACTGGAGACTGGGGTTGACTTATAGTTCATCTCCAGCAGTGTGTAATCATAAGTACTTAGAATACAGTTAGAAGCTACATTGATTTAGGAAAGTGGCTGCCGTAGTGGGTTCTTCTCTAGGGTCTACGACTTCTCCCACTGTGGGTAGTTAGCTAGGTTTCTAGTATCAGGCTGGAATTCATTGGTACTGAGCAACCTTGAATTCAATGAGGTATATATTAGTTTCCCCAAAGATATAAGAGCTACTATTGTACCGGTCTGTGGCCATGTCCATGTCAGAGGAGCAGCAGAGGGCATTTGACCTCAGGGTCTCAGCCCACCAGGAGGCGAATCCCTGATGGGTGAATCTGTTACGCCCAGATCACAGAGTCCACCAAATCCAACTAAGAGACCAAGTCCTTTATGTCAAAGCAAAGAACCTTTATTCTTATGCAAGTTTGCAAACTCAGGCTCTCCACGTCTCTACCATATTGGAGTGATTGGAGAGCTGTGAGCTCAGTTGGGGTTGGGTTTTTATAGTAGCAAAGGTAGATGTGAGGAATTTTTAATCCTCGGGACCCCTGATTGGCTGACATTTGTCTAAGGGTGTCCTAATGAAAAGTAATGGGTGTGTGCTGGCAAGTGATCCTATCTACAATGGTTGGAATGTTAGGAATTTCCTTTGGATGGTCTGTTCCTGGGCACTACCTGCTATGGCTGCTGTGAGGCCTGGGTCCCATGTGTGGCCAGGGTTCCTTGGACCCTCATGGCCTGGTCCCATTATGGGTGGCAAGACTGCCATAGGCCCCACAAATCTCTGATAGGCAAGGCCCCTTGTCTACAGACTCCAGAATGCCTTTTGCTTCTGCTGTGCCTTTACATGTTTGCTGCTGCCGTTTTTCTCTGGTATGTGGCATGGTGTGAGTGGGTGCGGGGAGATCCCTATGCCTGTGATAGAGTATGTTTGCCTCATAGAAATATGCTGTTCTACTGGACATTTTTCCTATGGATTATGAAGATGACTTCTTCCTAAACTGTACTGTCTAATTGATCATAATAATGTTAGTTTAAATAGAGTTTTGACGATTAAAAAGTAAAACAAGGAAATATAACACAGCTAAAACAAATGAATTCCTATGAGGAGTCATGGTTAATGGTTAAGAAAATTCATCAAGTCTCAGTAACCCAGCTTGCCTAAAATCTGTTAATTGTAAGGTTGGGAGATGCGTTCACAAGCTTCAGAGTGCATCATAGCTGAAACAAAGCATTGAAAATAACTTAAAGTTAGATCAATATGATTTTATCAAATTGCTTTAAGGTGGAAAACCCAAGAAGAAAATTTAAAATTTTAGAAGGGCACATAGTTGAATGAGGAATTCATTAAGGTCAGGAAACAAGAACAAAGTAGCATTATTAGCTGACATGCTTTTCTTGCTAGGATGAGTTGGTGTCAAAGGCAAAGATAAATTCCTTGTACTTAATTCTGCTCTCAATCTCATGATATAAAAATATTGATGAATGGAAATGTACCCTAAAGATTTAAAGTAGTGCGGACTGATTCTTTTTTTAAATATAGAAGTTTTTATTGTAATTCCTTTAGAATTTCTTATAAGATTACATTTTGGGATAAGCAAGAAAGTGATTGGTCTTTTATTTGTAACTGCAAAACCCAGCCTGACAATAAAAGAATATCTTGCTTGCTTACATTTTGTTAATTTACAAGTTGTATCAATTCAAATGTATGTATATTCTGGGGAAAATTTGTTTTCACCTGTATTATGTAAAATGTTTAATCATGTAAGGGCTATGGAAAACAGGTTAGATTTTTTTTACTTGTATTCATTGTAATCATGCACTTAATAAACAGAATGTAACCACACTATAATTTTTATACTGCCTGAATTATTTTGTTGATATATGTAACCTGTAGGGGAAAGAATAAAGATAGAGCTAAAATGAGTTAGAAGAAAAACATCAAGAATAAAGGTAGAATTAGAAGGAAAACATCAAGAATGAGAGAATAAGGAAGAATAAAAACAGAGTTCGAGGGAAACCATCAAGAGAGACGGAAGGTGTCATTTCTGGATAGAGAGAAGAAAAGAGAATATAAAACATAGAATCAAAGAGTACAAAAGAAGAATAAAGAAAAGTTTTGAAAGAAACCATCTATAGAGTGTGTGAATCTATAGTCCCTAACACATCAGATAAAAAAATACTACTGCACCCTAACTCTGAGGATTCACTTTGAGACCTGCCCTGTTTTAACCTGCTCTCCCAGACAGTAATATGTACCCTTGTGGATATCTTGTCATGGTGGTTCTTGTTTTGGTTCATACTCTTTACACAACTTAGTAGGATTATTTATTGCTTTTCTCCCCTGGATTCTTACATGGCACCTTCACATACTGTGAGAAGTCATGCTCAGAGAAGAATCTTCAGGTGAGTTCAGAGTTCCTTCAAGTCCTATGTCTAAAACATGTAGTGTAATTAGAAACGGGGTCTTACCTTCAAATTCTGTGAGGGCAGTCAACGGCAATGACATTAGTCTGGTTTATTTGGAGGAGTCTCTTAAGTCCCTAATTAACAACTTGAAAGGAGGTTTTCCATACCCGGAACTGGTATTTTTTTTTAATTAGATTTGGCATTCATTCTAGGTTTGACAAGCACTCTTCTGAGAGATTCAGTTCTATGTGTACCATTTAAGTAGTGTTTGGGATTTAAAAATTCTATTTGACATTCAGTTTTGCTTCCTAATCAGTAAGATAGCATATACTACTTTACTGTTCTCTGTGAACATAAACGTGAATCTTTCTTGAGAGACACCATGGTCTTTGTTTTAAGATCTTTCTTCCTTTATAGAGAGATAAATATGAGTACTAGAAATTTTACATTAAACCAATATTTTGTTCCCAGAATTGAGAAGGATCAAAACCTTGGCTTCCTTTCCAACATTGCAGAAGAATTATTGGAGAACCTAACTCTAATCCCAGATGAGTGACAATACCATGTCCTTAGGATTTAAACCAGTGTCGTGACCTATGAGAGTGGACATTAAGGGCTTTCTGGACAGACTCTTTATGACTAGCCTGCTTCATACACAGTGTGTAGGAAAGGGGAAGGGCCGTCTCTCATGGCAGCATTTTCAGAGTTCTATCAGCTCTATTTCCAGAGCAGCTTCACTGAGTGGAAGCTGTTGGGGAGTGTGGTGATTTGAATGAGAATGATCCCCATAGACTCATATATCTGAACATTTGGTTCCAGTTTGTGGATTGTATAGGAAGATCAGCACGTGTGACCTTGTCAGAAAAGGTGTGTCATTACTGGTGGTCTTTGGAATCTCAAAGACAAAAAGCTAGGCCCAGACTATCCCTCTTTCTGCCCTCCTTTGTGATTAGGTATAAGACCTCAGCTACTTCTCCAGAGACATGCCTGCCTGTCTGCTGCTCTGCTCCCCACAATGATGGTAATGGACACACCCTCTAAAACTTAGTCAAGCCCCAATTAAATGCTTTCTTTAATAAGTTCTCTTGGTCATGGTTTCTCTTCACAGCGATAGAACAGCAGCCAAGGCCAGAAGTCTTCCTGAACTTTCTGTTACCTGGAAAGAATGAACAGAAGAATCTGAAATACATGTGAAGTGAGACTGAAGATTATTTTTAAAGACTAGAGTCTATGTTCCTCTTTTGGGTCATAAATTTGTGGGGGCAATAACAGAAGATGCTGGAGAATTTAAGTCACTAAATTTTGTAAGACATCTTGTTGAAGATAAATTCCATGGCAGGGTTTTTCTGGAGATGTTTTCTGTAAGAGGTCCTCCAATTTTGGGGGAGAAGAGTATTTCAGGGGATAAAAGTGCGGGTTGTTTCCAGCAATGACTTTCATCCTGTGTTGTCAGAAAAATCCACAGATTCCTAGGTTTCTGGGACTTTGATCTGAAATGTATTGCTGTTTTTCAATAGGCTGAGCAAACCCCACTTAGAGACATACACAGCTCTCCCTCACAGGGCCACTCCCCTCACCCTCCTGTACACTTGGTTTGTGTGCAGCTTCCCCTGCAGTCTTCCTCACTGTGTCACTCAGAGCACAGTAGTACAGGGCAGAGTCTGACAGCTTCATTGAGGACTTCTGCAGGTGGAAGGAGCTGTTGCTCTTATGGAGCATGGCATAGAACCCTTGGTATTCTGTCCTCTTCTTGTCTGTGAAGCCCTTCAGGAGTAGTTGAGGGGCTTTGTTGACATATTGCACATACCAGAAAACATAAGGGGCTGAATCAGTAGTCTGATAGGTACAGTTCAGCATCACAGGTGACCCCTCTGTGACAGTAACCAGGCCTTCTGTCTGGGTCACTGAGTCTCCATTGCTCATCCCTGAAAATAAATAAATGCATGAGTAAATAAATAAATAAATAAATAAGAAGGAATAACAATGCTACATGAGAGCAAGGGTAAAGACTTTCATAGCTGTAAGAAAATGACATCACTACTACTTAAGGTAATTGTAACTTACTGAACATTAAGAGGAACAGCAGAACTGAACAGCTGTCAGGAAGCATGACTGTAGATGTCAATGACACTTGGTGCTTGAGTTCACCGAACTTACAGGGCAAGTCTTCTCAGGACCTTATTGAAACTCATAAACAAGGACCTCCTTACTCACAGTGACAGTCTGTCACGTGAAGCCGCCACCTGGATGAGATGTTAACCACATCTGAATAGGCAGCGCCCTCCTCTGGTTTTCTTCAAACTACCAGAGATGTCTGCACAACACATTGTGAGCAATTTGAAACCTCACCCCAAAGAGGCAGGTCTCAAGTCCCCAGCAGGTGGCTGAAACCACCAGTGTTACTGAACTGTATGTAGCCTGTGGTGTTGAATTTTTATTATACTAACCTGCTTCCTCCACTCTTGTCAGATCCAAACACTCTTCCTTACTAACACAGTTTTGTGTCCCCTGTCCCTGACATAAAATAAAAATCCGTTAAGATTCACACTACAGTTGGTCCTGTGCATATAGTCTTGGATGTGTGGCCTTCAGTGGAGAGCAGTCTATGCACTTGGGGCTGCATCAACAAAGCAATATAATTCTCTCTCCCAGCCGCTACCAAATGCCCATAACTCCTTATCTAAGTGTGGGAATTGCCCATCTTCTCTCTGCTTTTTGGGATTGTGTTTTCCCTGATCCTTTGAAAGTCTTATGTGTGTTGTAAACTTGTGTGAATTCATGTGTGCAGCTGCTCTGCTGTGTCCAGATAACACTGTCTCCTTGTAGTCATCCCCCATCTATAGCTCTGACATTCTTTTCACCCCTTCTTCCTCAGTGACCTCTGACGTGGGAGGAGGGTTGGGATGGAGAAGTCCCTCCTGGGGCTGAATGTTCTGCAGTCTTTTCATCTCTACAGCACAGTGAGTTCTGGTTCTCTGTGACAATCACCATGTGCTGAAAACAGGGAAAGGGAAAGATGAAATTGTATTTCAATGTTTAGAATTATTTTCAAAAGCTAAGCAAGGAGAAAACTATCCAATATGATTTTGAGTGATTTGAAGCTAACTTTCTTATCCTGTGTTTTTAATGTCTATACTATAATTGGCAATTGCAAACTAGGAACTAAAAATTAGTTTAGTACAGAGAGAGAGATATTAATTCTGCAGGTTATTAAGCTAAACCAAAATATATACTTTAATGGTATCTTGACATCAAAATTTGGGTCTAAGGATATGTTGCTTTGGAAAAGAGGTTCTGCTCTTGTTTCCACAGAGGAACCTTCTAGACTAATATGGTTTTATGGACCAAGACCCTCCCAAATGTCTCCATAAATGCCAGAAAATACTTTACCCAACAACAAAAATACATAAAACAAAAAAACAGGTTAAAAAAAAACTATGCCCGAATTTCCAAATATTGTTTATCAGTGTTTGTTTACATTTAAAGGCTTGATATGCTATAGAGATCAATACTTTACATTTTGTGGATCTTCATCTATTGATTTAAATTTAAGGTCAATTTTGTTATATGTATTTGTGCTCTTATTTAAGGTATATTTTGTTTGTGCAGTTCATTTAAAAATGTAATGTAGAGTTAAGAGATACAGATCAACAACAACGAAAGCAGTGTTTTGGTTTCTCAGGAAATTCGGGATCAGCCTACCCCTGGATCCAGCAATACCACTCTTGGGAATATACCCAAGAGAGGCCCTATCATACAACAAAAGTATATGCTCAACTATGTTCATGGCAGCATTGTTTGTAATAGCCAGAACCTGGAAACAACCTAGATGCCCTTCAACGGAAGAATGGATGAAGAAAGTATGGAATATATACATATTAGAGTATTACTCAGCAGTAAAAAACAAGGACTTCTTGAATTTTGCATGGAAATGGATGGAAATAGAAAACACTATCCTGAGTGAGGTAAGCCAGACCCAAAAAGAGGAACATGGGATGTACTCACTCATATTTGGTTTCTAGCCTTAAATAAAGGACATTGAGCTTATAATTCATGTTCCTAGAGAAGCTAAATAAGAAGGTGAATCCAAAGACAAACACATAGGCATCCTCATGAATATTAACCTTCATCAGGCGATGAAAGGAGACAGAGACAGAGACCCACATGGGAGCACCGGACAGAAATCTCAAGGTCCAAATCAGGAGCAGAAGGAGACGGAGCACGAGCAAGGAACTCAGGACCACGAGAGGTGCACCCACACACACTAAGACAATGGGGATGTTCTATTGGGAACTCACCAAGGCCAGCTGGCCTAATTCTGAAAAAGCATGGGATAAATCCGGACTAGCTGAACATAGCGGACAATGAGGAATACTGAGAATTCAAGAACAATTGCAGTGGGTTTTTGATCCTAATGCACGTACTGGCTTTGTGGGAGCCTAGGCAGTTTGGATGCTCACCTTATGAGACCTGGATAGAGGTGGGCAGTCCTTGGGCTTCCCACAGGTCAGGGAACCCTGATTGCTCTTAGAGCAGATGAGGGAGGGGGACTTGATCGGGGGAGGGGGAGGGAAATGGGAAGCGGTTGTGGGGACGAGGCAGAAATCCTTAATAAATAAATAAATTAAAAAAAAAACAAATAGTCATTTATAATAGTCAGACTTGTAGCCGTGTTAATTAGGTTTTCATGATGTACAGAGATATATTTCAGACAGATAGGTATTCTTCAAATCTTTCAAAAATGTACAGAATATTGCATTTGAAATGTCTTAAAAACTTAGGAAGTTTTATGACAGTAAGACATGTCTGATTCTGGCAGCACCAATTACTTCAGAGAGGTTCATGGGCATAAAAAAGCTAATTATAAAATTTTCTTTCAGCGTGACAAGGCTAATAATTTGGGCAAGAAACTGTTCTTACCAAGAGGTAATTGACCAACCACCTGGAGGGACACCCCACTCTCTAGGCCTCTGTACCATATGCAAAACCTTGGACCCCTCCCCTATCCACCTTGGCTTCTCTAGCCACCCAACAGGCATGCTTTCTGCAGGTAGGCTGCTCCAATACTTCCATTCCATTTATTAGACCCTGTAAGCTACAAGTCTCTCTCTGCCCCCAAACCATCCTATTCTTCCCCTGCAACCTCAGTGAAACTCTAAAAGACAGCCTGCTACTACACAGAGAGGACCAAGAGGAGAGAGACCAACACCTGGTGGGACACCTCACTCTTTAGGCCCTATATATCAGGACAAAAACCTGGGCCCCTCCCCCACATACCTCATCTTCTCCAGCCAGCCAGCAGGTAAGTTTCCTGCAGGTAGGCTGCTCTACCACCCACATTCCATTCATCAGACCCTAAAAGCTACAAGTCCCACTCTGCCCCAAACCCTCTTTTCTCACCACTTGCAACCTCAGAGGAATGTTGAAACACAAGCTGCAACTACAGAGAAAGGACCAAGAGAGAAGACAAAGAGAGAAACTCTGAAGCACAAGCTATGAAGCACAGAGTGGACCAAGAAAGCAAACCAAGAGAGCAGACCATGAAAGCAGGCCAAGAGAGAAGGCTTAGTGAGACCTCAGTGGCTCCCTATGACACAGACTGTTAGAGTACAGAACAGACCAAGAACAGTTCCCAAAGACACAGACAGTCACTGAAAGGATTGGACCAAGAGGCAAAGACATTGTAAGCAACAACTAAAGGGAGGGATAAGTAGGTGCCAATGCATTCAACAATCTAAATAGCAACATGATAACAACACAATCCAGTGCTCATCCAACAGAAAGACTTGATCATCCTAACCCAGAAGAAGCAGAAGAAAATTATTGTAAATGTAACTTTATGAGGATGATCAATAACTTTAAAGAGGAAATGAGAAATTCCCGTAAAGAAATAGAAAGAAAAAATGGAAGAAATCAATAACTCTCTCAAAGAAAACCAGGAGAAAACAATCAAACAGGGGAAGCAAACAGTCCAAGACTTGAAGAATGAAATAGAGTCAATAAAGAAAATACAAACTGAGGGAATTCTGGTTATAGAAAATCTGGTTAAATGGACAGGAGCTACAGAGGCAAGCCTAACCAACAGAATACAAGAGATTGAAGAGAAAATCTCAGGTGCTAAAGATATTATAGATGAAACAGATTCAATGGTTAAAGAAAACATTAAATCCAACAAATTCTTAACATAAAACATCTAGGAAATCTGGGTCACTATGAAAAGATCATATCTAAGAATAAAAGGGTTGAAAGAAGGAGAAAAATTCCAGCTAATGGCACAGAAAATATATTCAACAAAATCATAGAAGAAAACTTTCACAATCTAAAGAAGCATATTTCTATGGAGGTATGGACTGGATCAAAAGATGTACTCTCACTATATAATAGTTAAAATGCACAACATGCCATATAAAGAAAGAATATTAAAAACTGCAAAGGAACAAGGTTAAGGAATGTATAAAAGCAAACCTACCAGAATTATACCTGACCTCTCAATGGAAACCATGAAAACCAGAAGGTCCTGAAGAGATGTGTTGTAGACTCTATGGTACCATGGATGCAAGCCCGGACTACTATACCTGCAAGGCTTTCAAACACCATCGTTGGAGAAGACAAGATATTTTAAGACAAAACCAGAGTTAAACAATACCTATTTACAAATACAGTCCTACAGAATGTCAACATGTACAAAAATGCAGAGATCCATATCTATCCCCATGTACAAAATACAAGTTCAGATGGATTAAAGATGTCAATATAAATCTGACCACACTGAACCTGATAAAAGAGAAAGTGGGAAGTAGCCTTCAATGTATGGGCACAGGAAACCACTTCCTAAATATAACACCAGTAGCACAGACACTGAGAGCAACAATAAATAAATGGGACTTCCTAAAACAGAAACTTCTGTAAAGCAAAGGACATAGTCAATAAGACAAAAAAGAATGTTAAAAAATGTTCACCAACCCATCAGACAGTGAACTGATTTCCAAAATATATAAAGATCTCAAGAAATTAGACATCAGAATTCCAAATTAAAACATGGGATACAGATCTAAACAGAGAAGTCTCAACAGAAGAATCTCAAATGGCTGAAAGAACCTTTGAGGAATG